GCGCTGTCCTCAGTTCCTCTTTATCACCAGACTTGAAAGCTGAGTTCCGTGCTTTAGGCAATTTTTCAAACCTCCCCTTTCATCCAGGGTCGTTGGTTTGCTCAGATTGTGATGTTCTTTGTGAAGCTGACGTCCTCAATGCATTTGTTGAAGTAGGCTGACAGTCATGGCACACTCATCTATATTTATTTTGTTGTCATGGGTTGCTGCATCCTTGAACATATTCCAGTCAGACCATTCAAAACAGTCTTGGAGTTTCTCAATGGCACCCTCAGACCACACTCTGATTACTTTGTCGGTTTAGCCCTGATTAGCTGGAGCTTATATGCTGGTATGCACAACATAGGGTTTATTCACAAATTTAAATACTTCAGGCATTATTTGGAGAACAGAAGAAGAAAAATCTAAATTTGGTGTCTCAGAAAATCGGAATACTGTCAAATATTTCATATCTGAAACCCATGATGTCACCAATATCAGCTGATTAAATCAAAAAGACAAAACAATCATAAGGAAACCGATGGCCAGTGGTTGATGCCCTCTATAAGGAGAGGAAGCCAGAGAGGGTCATTGCAAAAGAGACAGGTTGTTCAAGCATTATTAAAGAAAGGAATAAGATTAACTACTGTTAATGCGACTAGCATATATCTTCAATTCTTAAGTGAAGTACCATCATTTGGAGCTTTCCAGTTTTCTCCAGACTAGCAAGCTGGATATTAGAACATGGCAGCCAAATTCTGTGCACTCTTTTTTCACCATTAAAGTGCCCGTAGTTCAGAGGCTGGTTGTTCAAGCATATTTAAAGAGAGTTAAGTGGAAGGAAAGAGTGTGGAAGACACAGGGTCAACATCAACAGGGATAAATTAAGTCCTTAGAGGATCAAAAAGCTTTATGGACAGACTCATCCTGCATCTGCATTGGTACAGGCCCATCCTACCAAAGGTGCCAAAACTTGATCCAATGACCGACCAGTGAAGCAACCTAAGCTTCCTGAACACAGGCTGATGGCCTCTATGCCACACTGCACTGATGCAGCATTTAGTGTAGGAGCCTCAACCAAGTGCTGAGTTCTTCAGACAGCCTGAAAAGTCTATTTGAAATATATTTTCATTGACTTTTCATAATCAGACACTAAAGTTGGATTTTTATCATCTGCATTTAACTTTCTGCCAATACTCTAATTCTTTGTCATGTTAAGGCAGAGTTTTAGTGGAAGAGATTTTATGAAAGCTTATTGATGTGGAAGAATGGCCTAGTCAAAGTCTAGAGTCAAGTATAACTGAGAATTTGTGTCAAGACTGATGTTCAACCAGAGTTGTGCAAATATTCATCTGTACCTCAGTATACGTCCGATGCTGGTCTCCGCCAGCAGCAGAAAGCTCTCGTCAGGCGCCAGCGCGATGCCGTTGGGCATGTAGAGTGAATCCAGCAGCACCGTCACATTTTTACTCCGAGGGTCGTAGGAGAGAAGACGGCCGAGGCTGTTTAACTCGATCACCTGCAGGATCAAACAGCAGCTTCATCTAATCCGTCTCTGGTACAAACGCACACATTCTGGAACAGTTCAGTAGATCTCCAATTTAACACAAACCCCACGGTACGAGGAGGAGATAAAAATGGAGGGTTCACTTTCAATAAACTTTTATAGGAAAACTTAAAGCCTGCGTCATTGGAGGTTTTTACACCAGTGTTTGAGGGAGAGTGATTATTTTGTTTTTTTTTTAAAGCTCTACATCTTCTGGAACAAATGAGGATGTTTCTAGTCAAAGCTGAGAGCACTTAGTGTGTGAAGTGCATCCTGCAGCCTCGTCATCAATTCTCCACAAAAAAATCCTGTTATTTCCTCAGGATGTTTTTGAGTCCTCTAGTAATTTCAAGGACCTTTGGTTACCAAGAAACGAAAACTCTGATTGAGGCCTGAAGGCATCAGGGTTTCATTAAGTGGCGGCTGGTGGAGTTCTCTCCGGGGGGGCTGTAAATTCGAAATAGAGGTATACCAAAAATCTATCAAAAATATACTAAGTTATTATGCCAGTCTATTTTTATAAATGCCAACAACAAAAAACTTGATAAAACCACTTTATATAAAAACAGAACATAATTTCATGTGCAGGTTTACTTTTTAAACATAAATCTTGCCCTTCTGAGGCTGTGAAGGTAAATCTGTGTTTTGCATGGTCCAATATTGTGTCACAGACATGAAAAAAAAAATGTACCAGTTTCATAATGGAGAAGCTATTCGTCAGTTTTATATATTTTTTAATATATAAAAACGTTATTTTCTGAGAATGTGTTTGTTTAAGGGCAACTATGCAAATGAATAAACACCTAGAAAAAGAACACAAAATTATATTATTTTCAATGTGAATCCCAGATTGTTCATTCTTTTTTGCCTTTTCTAAAAAGTGTTTTAAATCAGTCCTAGCTGTCTTTATCCATGCTGGCTCAGTTCCTGACATTTGAAAAAGGAAGCAGGGAAAGCAGGATAAAGCCTTAGCCTCGCTGCATGCAGTTAGCCTAGCCTAGGAGCTAAACCAGAATCTCTCTAATGCTTCTACAACTTCCACTGTTGACCGCAAAACGTCTGCGCCTTGGAGGGAGGTGGTGAGCAAATACACTTCCTGTCAGCTCAGGGCGCACCAGAGCTGCACCGAGCTCTCCTATACCTTTGTATTGCAGAGAAGCAACTGCGCATCGACAACTTTTAACAAGAGTCTATGGGTTAAGATTTTTGCGCCCTGGGGCAGGAATACAAACCTGACTCCGCCAGATGGATTTGCTCCGCATATCCATCTGGAAACCTTCTGGTGAAGTAATTTTGGGAAGAGGCGAAAATACTGGCTAGCTGATTGGCCTATGTTGGTGATAGACGGGCCAAATAAACCAATCAGATCAACGAAGCATA